GCTTGAGGGACGCAGATCGCTTTAAACCTATAACAGACGAGTAATGGGAGAATATAAATAAAGCGAAAAATAATGAGCATTTAACTGGCAAGGTGTGCGCAAACCAGTATTAAAAATGAGAGCGGTCGCTGATAGAAAACGCACTTGTACTGTCCTCTCAAGGAATTATTTTGCTTATATTCTTACAGATTGTGGTCTCTAGGGCAGCGCTTAATGAGAACAATCGCGTTGACGAATCGAGTGTGGGAATTTAATTTATAATCAAGGAAGATAAACACACTCTCTGAATATGACCAAAGTTATCAACATCAAGTAAGCTAGCCTAAATTTTATCTACATGAAAACGTAAACCGTGGCTCTACTACAGTCTACGATTAAAAATAACACTATCGAATCCCGTTCAAGCGTTGATTTTTTGTGAGCTTTCAGGTTTTTTTCACAATTGCTTAAGTTTCTGTAAAAACCGCATATTTGATCGTTCACGTGTTAAATCTTTCTGCATTGGTTCAAAATATACATGACATAAATTTCATGAGTTAACATGTTTTCTTCATTGAATGAATCTTGTACTGATCAAGGATTCAAAAAACAAAGAACAGCTGACCTTACAACCTAATGACAATTATTTTTTTATTGCTGAAAAACGGCAGTTCATTTTGGGTTCCTCCTTTAGCATAAATATTTACAACTGGTTGCATCTCTTTGAGTAAGCACTCAGTTATACATCTACTGACAACAAGTGTCTGTTTTTCTTGTGAACAAAACAATATTGTAAATTTAATATTAGAACACTCAGGTGCGTGGGTTGCAGTCTCTGCGTCGCTACATGCATCGTTGAATGTGCAGCCGGTAATTCACCACCTGGCAAACAAACAGAGAAACCAGTTCAAACCCCAAAAAAAAATTCAACAGCTTTTAACACTATGCAAGGGACGAATGCTAAAAGGGGCAGGTACAAAACTTGGGCCGGGTCGACTCTTTCACACATAGACTGGAAACCATCAGTTTTATTATGTGGTAAGTAATAAATTCGGATTCATTGTTGTAGCTTTTTGTGTCTGCCTAATTGAAAGCTTACCTGTTTCTCTTTCGGCTCTAGGACGCGACTTTTGATCGAGTTGGTCGGACTTCGAGCGCACCACTATTGAGTGTTTTCTCTTGCGTAAAAGACATGCCGTTCTCCTTCCGAAGATTACTGTAACATTTCGTTCAAAAAAATTCCTTCTCAGCTGATGTACCTTGTTTTAAAGCGGGTTTTTTTTTTGCGCACTTTTGGCCAACATTCAACAAGCTTGACAATTAGGCATCGACACGTTGAAAAAAATTATCCTCTATCGATTTGCAAGGAAGTCCTCTTTCATAGGCCAAGGAAAGAACACCCTGTCGATTAAAACAGTCCTTGAAAACCTTTCCCGCTATTTGTGATATGAAAATCAACAACTCTTGCCAGAAATTCTTGGAGGAACGAACGATCGAATAAAAAACTACAAGAAATTTTCTCTTTGGCAGCCATCTTTGTTTACTCTCTTGCGTGTGGTAAGAAGACTGAACACTAAAGATTCAAACAGCCAATCAGACAAAAGTCTCCTTTGTTACGCTAGCGTGAGAGTAGTGTGCCATCAGGCACGCTTATTTCAAATTTTCCTCTTGTTTACATCGCACGGGAAACACAAAGCATCGTGTCCTATTTGCCTGGTCCCTAGGCCTCATTATTCCGCGCGGCCAAAGCGTTTCGGGTCACGTTGTCCAAGCGAAAATGTGAGACCTAGACAAAAATCCTCAAAAGTGAGAGAGCTCAATGGCGCGGCGATGGTAAACTAGACCAGTAGTTCGCATTTCAAGGTTCAAAATACACCGCTAAAACACGCAGATGGGAAAGGAAGCTTCAAAGGAATGCTTAGTTTTCTTCAAGATGACAAAGGAAGGCTTTTCTTCTTGAAAATAATCCTTCAAGGCCTGTTTTGAAACGCCATCAAGCAGCGAAGTTTTTTAAGAATTTCAAGGACATTTTGTACTCTATAGGACACTTGCCTAGTCCCAGTCCCTATCGGTCGATTTATTTCGGTGACGTATCCGAGGCGAACCCGCAGGAAACGCCTAGACAAAAACAGAATGCGCATGCGTGCGTTGCTTTTTGAAATTCAAAGATGTACGTTAATGTTGTAAGCAGCAGGAGATTTTGGGTTTTTTTTTAACATCCCTTGTGGACATTTGCGGGATCGACTTTTGCCGACCGGCTTTGAAAAGTCATCAGAATGTTATTCATATTCGGTTTCAGCAGTATTTAGGGCATGGGTTATGGAAAAGGAGCAGCACACTGCAAAATACTTGAATTGCAAGTAATGAATATGAAAATGAATGGCAATTCAATGGAACGTGTACAAAAAAAGCACTTTAGTTTTAATTCAAGAATGGGGACTAGCCTAGCCTGTTCCAGGCGTTCAGATAGTGGGGAGCGGTGCGAAGTAAAAAGGAGCGCGAAAAAATAAAAGCGAGGGAGGAGGAGAGGTGAGAGAGGGAACGCCTGTTAGATTTGTTTTAAATAGACTCTTTCGCCCAGTCAGACCGCATCAGCTGTAGGTGGTCTTCACTTGTCAGTCAAGACTGGTGTTACAGCCCAATGCATTTTAATATTATTTTTCTTGCGAATAAATCGAAGTTTGTCAGATCAAAAATTAATATTATGTATACATAATCTTACTAAAAACCCAATGTAAGACTTTCAGACAATAGAAGGCGGGAGAAGTATTCATGTATAATGAATTTATTTACGGCTTTAAAACATGATTTCAGCGTGTACGTGACAAAAAATTATGAATCAAGTAACAAACAAATATCGCTCATTTCGATACAAAGCCGTTTCAATACAGGTCGTTAACTCAAGCAATGAAAATGCACAACAATTGAAGGGAAAATTTACTTTTCGGTGATTGAGTGGACCTCTTCAACAGCGATAGCTGCAACTTGCTTTCCAAGCTCTCTTTTTGAAGTCCTTTTGTCCATTCATTAGACAACCACGATTTGGCACTTCAGTAAACAATTTCACAGCTTCCACTTTTAACGGTTTCATCCACATCTTCTCCCATCATTTCCGCCGCTACTCCGATTTTGTTCAAACATTCCACTTGGTCTTCCATGACCGGATGATGGTAATCAACGGAGTTACAACAACAATCGTAAATAGCATTCTATCCTGCCTTCATTCCAACGCACGCTTTATTCGAGGAAAAAGCTGGAAAATAAGAATTTTTCCAAAGCCAGTCGGTGAGAAATTGCTAAGACATCTATCCTACTGACTACGTGTTTTAAACAGTTTCTTTGCTCTTCGCTTTTAGCCTCCGCGTTTGGAAAGTCACTCAGCGCTGTGTTTGTTGCGAGTTTGTGACGGCACGTAGAGTCTGTCATAACGGCCATATCGCATTTCTCGCTGTGATCGAAGACGCTCCACTGTTGACAAAAACTGTCAAAATGAACCAATCAGAGGGTATACCATGATCTGGTATACCGGAACGCACTTTTGTTAAAAATTCTTACAAGCGTTCCCGCACCTCTCTCCCCAGTCCCCCTCTACTTTTCATCGCTTTCTTTACCCTGCACCGCTCTCCACTATCTGAACGCTTGGAACAGGCTAGGACTAGCCCGTCTAAAGTGTTTCTAAAAATATTACGATCTGTAGTCTCAGGATCGTGTTTTGAGCTGATGTTATGAATGAACAATGACAGGTAAATAAGTTAATTTGTTGAAAAGTTCTTTCTTTAATTTTCTTTCACGCCGATGTCAAAATTTAGAAAGCATCTATGATACCTTTATACTAAAGCTCCCTTTAAAAAAATACTTTCTTGACCATAGAGTAAAGATGTAACTCATTCTTCAGAAACCTCGACGCGTCGTTGCAGTGTTTCAGGTATCGAAAGTCCTGGAGCCTCCTTATTTCATGGTGTCGTGGAACAGCAGTACATCTTCCACGTGATGGATCACGCCTTGTGTTTAAGTGATAGCAAACAAGAGACATGTGATAAGCACGTGACAAGGGGAGGTCCACTCAAAAGTGATTCTAGTAAAACTCAAGTCCTTAAGACAAAATGCCTGATTTCGACATCATTTGCATTTATTTAGTGTCAATGATTTTCTAAGGAAATTGCTACTTGCTTGCCTGGGTTTTAACCCTTCAGTTGTTTATTTTTTTATTTCTTCACTACAGAAAGGCCACAACACAAAAATCATAGTATCTTTCGTTACATTACTTCGCCTGGGTTTTTATTACAAATTAGCATATCTGATCATAGCATAGAAAGCGACTAATTATATAACTATTATGTATCAGCTTTAGTTAAGCCAAGGCAAGCTTGTAATACGTATTTTGAAGTGTAGGTTCTGTCCGTTAATATGCTTAGCGTATGGCAATAACAATTGCATGTATTTTTGCTCATGCAATAATCTCCTTCCACATGCTGTTGTTTCCTGAATAGGGTCCATTTCAGAGGCGTTTCGTACCCAAGAAGAAATGGCTCCCTTCTCGCAGTTCCACGAAAAGGAGAATATATAAGGAGTGTATATGTATATGCGCAGGCGGGCCCCTGTAGGCCCTCAGAACAGCAGACGTACACTGCAAAAGCAAGTTGACAAGAAAGCGTCTAAATATTACCTTTTCGATATGTACACCAAAAATAACGAAGGCCTTCATTCTGTAGTTTTTGGTGATTAATTTTACCATTAACTAGAAAAACTCAGCACTGCTTTAAGATGAATAGAATCCTAAATTACAACCCGTTTGCCTGAAAAGGATACTGAATCAGTTTTTCTTCGTCAAACCTCATATGAAACACATTTTGATAACCATTTAACAGACCGTAGTCCAGTCTACCATTCTGCAGCTAAAACGTCATCTATACTGCTACTTACAGCGAAATTCGTTGTATCGCGCCGTAAATTAAAAAAAAAAACTCTATAATATCCTTGTAATCTTGTCACTATCGATGGTTGAACAGCATGGCACAACTTCAGACCCTGGACTCATCTTGTCCTTCGCTTATTACTCTAATCACATCCTCTTTTCCATTACTGTTTTCTGCTGAATAAACGCAACGAATTTTATTATGTTGTCTCTCTTTCAACGGAGATCTACATGCGAGCTCTCGACTCAAGTCTGTTTGCTCTCGGCTGAGCTGCTAGAGCTCGGAATCTCAGCGTTTGAATTTTTTTCTTAAGGGTTTTATTGAATTAGTTTTTGATTAAGTTAATTTTTTTTTTCTACTCCCCAACGATCGAGGTAGCGCCGCAGTTTCTTTCAAACTTATTCCCTCATTTTTGGGCACTTTTGAGCCATGTTTTAGAGAAACTTTTTAAAACAGTAGTTGTCATAAAGGCCTCAACTAACTCTTTCTTGTTTACGTGTGTGTTTATACTCACCGAGTTATAGAGAAAACGTTACATGTAAGAATGCATTGATAAATAAAAAATGAAATCATTCAACTGACTTCTCTAATTATTTCTCGTTTTATTTTTTCTCTTTCTTTTATTTTCGTTTTATTTTTCTTCCTAACCTCTCTTCCTTACCAGAAAATACAAACTTGTCGATGCGACTGTTTCTGTCGGCAGTTGGTGTCATGGGATTGGAAGCGGGCGTCGTTCCTGTTTTCTGGTCTGACTGTTTTCTTCTACGGGCTTTACGTGCTCGCAGAGCCTCTCTAACCTGGTGCACAAATAGTTGAGTGGTAAACATGTATATTTAAAGTGTAACCTCGATTTAAGGAAGGGCCAGGAGACTGACAAAATTTGTTCTCTTTATCGATGTTTCGTTATATCAAGGTTCTTTTTCATACATGTTACTATTACTGGGGTAAAGAAAATTGTTCGTTATACCGGGGACTTCGTTATGTAGAGTTCGTTATACCGAGGTTCCACTGTAGTTGGTCATATGCAATTTCAACTTTCATTAACTGATTGTCGCTCACCTGTTGAACAGCCGAAAACTAGCAAAAGGCTGAGAATTCACCATGCCTCTTACCTGGTCATCCAAAACACAATGGAAGATGCAAAAAACAAGTCCCTATGAACAAAACCAAATACTGAGTCAGCACGTATGGCAAGGGGACTTCTGTTTTCAAACTCTGAACAAAAATTCTCTGTCAGCCTCTCTAGTTTTTGGCAAAGAAACTTTCTTGATTTCTTTATCAAATGAACATTAGTCTGAGTCTTATCGGTTAGCAGAAGTCATGATATTTCTATTTCTCTAGAAAAAGACTGCAAATTAACCAGCAGCTGAACTTGGTCTACTCTAGGGACAAATACATCAATAATTCAAACTTACCCATGGAGATTTACCGGTACTTACCATTAAAGAGTTCACCAAAATAAAAGCATACTTCACGGAATCGTGGAAATCAACAAAGAATCCCAACAACCACGTGACCCCAAGAAGGGGAAGCAGGGCAACTGTACTTCTTATGCCTCTCCTATAAAGAGACATTCACGATTTTTCAAAAGCATTTTACTATAAATTGCGTAGTCTATCAAGTGTCCTCAATAGATATTTTCCGTAGTTGTAAATTAACCTACAGGAATAGTAGAAATAGTTTAGTATCGAGCCTTATTATTGTTGTACAAGTGAACTTACCTTGTAGCGTCTATTTTATTTTTGCCATATTTGCTGGATATTTTACCAAATACAACTCTCAAAATGATCACGAACAGAATCAAGTTTATCTGCAATGTAAAAAATAATGTCGTTGAACTGCTGGTGAAAGGGGATGAAATTAAATCCCGAAGGGAGGTCACCAGTAATTAAACAGCACTGAGTAAGCTTGAATGTAAACTGCTGTGAGTCAAGAGTTGAATTTTGTTTCCATGAGCAATAACATCATCCATGTTATCTGCGAGAAGTAAAAATTTTAAACTCTAACATCCATCGTCTTATACTACATATTGAAGTGGCTGTCAGGCCTCGAACCCAAAGCTGGTTTCCTAACTCTGTCTAGGCAATCCTCTTCTGAGTATGCAGCATATATATGTGGTAAGCTTAGACTTCATGGCCCAAAGAGGAGGAGCACTAGGGCTGGTGTAGTTGTGAGAGTTCCCGCCTTCCACCAATGAAGCCCTGGTTTTAAGTCCCCGGGTTGGACACCAAACGAAGCCTGATTTTGTTGTTGTTATTGTTGTTTTTGTTTTCTTCGAGAGGTTTCCCTTCGGGTACTTCGAATTTCATCTGTTTTCCAAAACCCATAAACTCCAATTTGAACTACAATGTGTTTCCGTTTAGTTGGAGGGCCACGCTTTTAATTCTTAGCCTATAATGCAAATTTCACCCTCAAACTTGGGTAAGGGCTGCGTGGATGCCATGTGAAATCATTGGTGCTCACCAAGAGAATTGCTAAAACTGGGCCCTGGTAAATCCACTGACTGCCGTTTATCCAGCATCTGTAAAGACAGAAATAATATAAAGATGATCTTGCCGGATGATAACGATCTTGTCGTGTTTGAGTTGTAGTTGTTGATGATATTTATATCGATGTCCATGCAAGTGTTTGACGATGATTATGATCATGATAATGATGACGATTGAGAATAATGAGGTGACCAAAAATGATATATTACTACAATGGTATTGAACTGCACTAACAGTAAGGTTGTCAACGTAATGTCGGTGTACCTGGCTCTTTCGATCTTCGCGGCAATTTTCAATGGTCCGCATGTAATGTTCTTATAGAAACTTTTTCCCATGTCATAAGAAGAAGGACGAATAGCAGCCACCAAGCCAACGATGACAGCTGGTATTCCTTAAATTATGACAATAAAACCATTTTCTGTTAAATATACAATGAAGGTCTGTACAGTTAAACCCCTCAAAAGTCCTGATATACACGAACAGCAATTTGTCTTCAGAGGGGAAAGGGCATTTATTTTAGAGGTAGAGTTTTTATGAACTACGGTTATAACGGTAATTTTGAAAAGAATTAAACTTGTATATGATAAAGGCTTTTCACTGTAGAGCCACTTCGAGTGCATCGCATTATGATTTCTTTACAAATTTGAAAAGCTTTGAAAAAGCATTATAAACAGGAAAAGTCCAAAATGATTCATGCATTTTGATGGTCACTAACACAGCTTCCCTTTTCAAAAAAGTTTAGATAGTTTTTGCCTTGATTTATCTCTGTCCATTCAGACTGACATAATAATAATTAGCCTTTCTTACATCTACTATTGGCGTGAAACAGAATCTTTTGAACATCTAAGGCGCTGAAAACTACTTAATCATTATATCCGAGATACATAATTATGTAATGTATGAATTAACTAAGAGATAATTATTCGCATCTACTTTGACAGTGAGATACTCACCAACTCTTATAAACCTTTATATTTCTTAAATACGTTTCTTGTTCTTATTTATTCAATTGTTTTGTGTGTGAACATTTTACAAATTATATCTATCAAAATCTAGAATTGTATAACCAGTAAAACAATCCCGCAATAAATTACTTCTATTTATGAATTCTTCAGTTGGAAACTTTCAGTGGTATTTTGTAACCGACAGAACCACATGAGGTCACATGGAGGCCTATGTCACGTGATATAAAGTGTTGTGGCAAATACATCACGCCCTACTTCTGCCCAGTAATTATGTTTCATCTTTAGAGAGCAGCCTTTCACTTGAATAAAAAAGGCTAAATATTCGAATTTGGTAAGAAATAATTTTCAGGAATAGCATTAGTATGTTTTATGGCGATATTTATAAGTGATCAATTCTCTTAATCAAAATTACTTGATGAAGGATCTCGTATTCAACTGACAAATGCCATATCTGTTCTGATCGTAAAAATATAAAGATACGAACCCCATCCCATCATCAGGTAAGACAGATACTGTTTCCTGACTGAGAAGACTTTGACCAGCTTAATGTAAAGATTGATTCCTTCCACCAGCATCCAAGTAAACAGAGATGTGTGCAGATAGTGCTGAATCACGGTAACCAAGCAACAAAGGACCTAAAATACAAAACCTCCTTTTTATAGTTTTTTCACAACTAAAATTAAACTATCATTTAAACAAATAGAGGATGAGAAGGGACGGACTATCTCTATCTGCAAGCTAAGGCATTCTGCCCCAAAGCTTCACTGCAAGAAACTGAGTTATCAGAAACCTCCCGGCGAATACAGTTTGCAATACAAGAAGATCAACTTTATGCTAACTGTGGGACATGATTATAGCACTTCCATTCATCGAACTTACTTTTTATTTGTCTCTTTCTTTTCGAAACCAATCTTTGCACACAATATATTTTGCATCTACGAATCGAAAAACTCTCAACAGTTTTTAGCGCCGCAGGTTTCCGTTTTGAGGAGAAATAAAGCCATCAACTCCAGTACTTCTTCGCAGTAGGTTTCTGATTACTCTGTTTCTCGCAATAAAGCTTTGGGCAAGAATACCCTTGCAGATAAGAGATAGTCCGTCGGCACTCTTCCCCTATTTGTGCGTCGACTTTCAAAAATGTAGACATGTGTTAGCGTTGCATTTTTAGGTTAAGTTTGACCAGCATTTTGTACAGTGAGTTCTACGGTCACGATTGACTTCAAACTTGCAGAATTATATAAAACTAGAAAGCTCTGAGGCTTATTTGCTAAAATTAGAGAAAAATCTGTCGTAGAGTTTCCAAGTTAAAGACATATGCTGATACCTCGAGCGTTTTTATACATTCAAGAAAATAAATAACATTTTCTTAAAGTTGCTTCATTTTTTATTAAGGATGCCAAAAAGCATAGAAATCGGTTAAACCGTTCCTGCCGAAAAACGCGATTCAAAAACATGACCAACAAGCATATAAATAGGTCTGGACCACCTTTTAAAAGTTGCATTTCACATAAACTGCATGATTGCGAGCTGCAGAGCTCTAACTAGTCTCCAATGGACAAAAATGCGGTTGCCAGTGAAGAATTTTGACTGTGCATCACGTTATTGATAAGATCAAAAGAGGAAAACTAATCTAACGCATAACTTGTAAACTTTAGGAACGTAAACCATAAAAACTTAAGACAGCTTACAATATGATCCATCCGCGTAGAAAATGAGGCGATATCCAAAATATACACGAGGTTACCAAATCCAAGAGAAAAGAGAAGATTCTTGTGAACGAAAATTCTCTCGCTGCTTTTAACCCTATAGAATGAATAAAGTAAAATGGTATGTAGCCCTATTTTTTCCACAGTGCTTTCAACGGATTCTTCGTACAGGCATGGACGTCTCTTGCGTCCTTTTAGCGATGAAAAGCGACCGTCTTTGTCGGCTATAGAAGGTTGCTTATTTTTAAGAATCATTATTTGTAAGGATAATAGTTGAAAACTGTCAAGAGCAAAGTAACCTCTAGTGAAGATCACAAAAACACACAAGAGACGCATATTTCAGTTTAGGTCCGTTAAGTTACCTTATTATGGTAAGTATTATGAGAGACAGGATCACTGCAACAACAGATACTCCAAGAAGAACTAACTCAAGGTTCCTTTGGACTTGGTAGTGTTTGTTAGCGGCAGCAGGTTTTTGTATTTTAAACGCGTCTTTTTCCTGAAAAACAACAGTAAATCGGCAATGACAATTTCATGATGACTTCTATTTACTACAACTACCAGAATCCTTCAGTTTAGTTTCATGGGGCAAAGTATCTGTAAAATTTTGCTACATAATCGCCACGTTATTTGACCCTAACCCTAATTTGACATGTTACTTTTGTTCCTTCTTATTTTGTCACTTTACATGTAAACTGTATATTGTACTAACTAAGTCAGTTTTTAGTTTTATCTTTGTCACTTGATAATGATGTCATGGTGACATCGAAACGTCGAGTTAAACTTTTTTTCGCTTAATATTTATTTATTCTTAAATCTTTAACAAAATTTAATTTGATTCCTGTTTGAAAAAATCCATGCTATCAAACAGCTAGGGGATACAAAACTTTCCAATACACACCCCCATCCCCCTAGACTTCACCAAGGCCAAAGACAGTTATTTCCGATAAAGTACAGCAGAACATTTAGCCTTATTTGCTGTGATAAGTAAGTGGAATTCGTACGTGATTTCTTGAAAAGACATTACCTGGTCATAATCTATGTGAGGGCAGTTGTTGGCCGCGAGGAGAACTTTTATTTCTTCAATAGAGGGCTCCGTTCGCTATAATAATAGTGACATCAAAAATACGATTTTAATACGTTACCTTCTACCAGTAAGAAATAACAAACAATACAGGAAATTAAAACTACTTAACACAAGTACAGTTTATGATGAAGTATTTTTCATTCATATAAGATCATATATATAACGACGAATCTTATCAGAGCGAAGAGCTACGGGGCCTTCGGTTCGCTAGCACTTGGGTCATGTTTCAGACATAACGACTTTCGAAATACCCTCGTTGTATTTAACTATTATTCCTCCAGCTGGAATGGGCTCTGAGTCAATAGCCCATGAGGCTGCCGAGCGATCACCATGCAGATGTTTTAAGACAAGAGTTCTGCATTTCAGGCTTAAAAATACACCGTTAAAAGGCAAAAAATGAAAAGAGAAAGTTAAAAAGAAAGCTCAGCTTTCTTTTTGTGGAAGAAGGGAAGCTTTTCATCAAGAAATCCTCCTTCGAGGAATTCAACCTTGTTTTCTTCACGACGGATCTCTGGTCTGTGTTGACATGTAACCCAAGGCAGTGAAGTTTTTGCTGAATTTTCAGGTACATTTTTCACTCTATAGCCAAGACAATTACGTTTATGAAAGCGAATTTATATATTTTTAAATGTCTCATAGACGTTTTATTAATTTTTCTCTTCGGCGCTAAAGAAAAATTACAAAATGTGCCTCGATTTGAGATGGATTTTGTGTTGAATTTTGCCATGTGCTCAGCCGATTTCACTTGCGTGAACGGATCCACGATCGAGATAGAGTCTTCCGAATTGCTTTAAAGGATTAACTTTTGGATTTTGAAAAAAAATTATCAAGGAACAGCTTCTCTGTCTATTGTTTTAAGTTTGTTCATTCATAAACTTAGCTCAAAACACGATCGTGACTACAACATCCAAGCTGAATTTAATCTTAAATGCTTCTCACATTCATCACACGCATCACTTTTTGCGAAGATGTCAGGTTCAGGTTTTGGACACTTTTCGATTCGCAGCTAATAAATTTTATTCCAAAATATTTTTTACTGTTTATTATACACTTTTAATATAAGAATTTTAAAAGCCTATTTGCATTATAAGTTTACTGTGCAGAGGGTCAACGAGGCTTCGTTATTTGAAGTGACTGAACTTCAAGAAGTTGTGAGGACGTCAAAGGGTTTCATAATGTTACGTTTGGCCCGGGTGGTAAGGCAATATCCTGCTCAGTGTTTCGGTAAGATTCCTAGTTTCAACCTTTCAAAGCTTTCTCGCCTTTCGGGAGTTTTTCCCCCGTTTTTAGGCCATTTTTTTAAGCGGGCGCGGGAACCTGAAGTAAAACTACGTCACGTTGTTTACGAAGTTTGATTGGTCAGTTATCTCTACTTCTCGTTCCAAATATGGTACTTTCGAAAATGAATAATCACGAGCATCGGACAAAGCAAACATATGAGAGTTACACGTTTCGACCCCTTATGAGTTTCTGATAATGATGAAAGTTTGTTATGATTTATGTTTTGACATCGGAGTTACCTTGGCAACGCAATGACGCCATTACGTTTTTTACTTGTCTTTGTATTTCTCGTAAATCTCTCAAGGGAGCTTATACCTCCCTAAGCTCCCTCGATCTTGTCAAGGATTGAACAATTTCTATGAGAGCGTTTGGAAATATTTTGAAAAGAAGTTCTAAGGGTCATAAAAACAGTAAATAACCATGCTATCGACATAATTGCCTAATATCTAAAGAAAATGAGTAATAAGACCCGCATCGAAAACAGCTCCATGTTTCAATCCCTCGCTGAACGAAAATGAGTCCGTGCTTTTGACCATCATCTGGTTCATCTTGATTGAACAGAGACGGATCCAGGATTTTTTCAAAGAGGGGGTTGTAATGAGAGTGCAAGGCAAATGTCCCAGGGCCAAAGGAATGGGGGAGGGGGAGGGTGGGAGTAATGTTTAAATATGTAGATTTTCTTCATTTTGACTTCAGAGGTATAAATTTGCCAAATTTGAGACACTAAGGAATAAGAGTACAGTGCAACAATGTTTTAGCCAGAAGGGTGTCCAGCCGTCCTATGAACGCCCATTTTTGGAAGAAATACAAGGAAAATTCACTTAATCTCTTGTAATTGTATGGGAAAATATGCCTTCTAGACGGCCAGTTTCAATGTCTGGCTAAAAGCCTACAGTGCATGCGCAACAACGATAGTTGTTTGTCTCTTATTTACCCGCCCATTTAATCAAACAGACTAGCTTTAAAGAGCCTTCTTGGATGAGCCTTTACAAAGGCTTAGTGGCATATCTCGTCTACCTCTACCTCGAATCTCTCGGAATAGTGCGTCGGGTGATCAATGCGAGATCAGAGAATCGCTCTTCAGGCATTGCTGACCTAGAGCAGATCTTGATTTATTTCATCAGTGAAAATGATTGCTCAGCTTCAGCGCTTGTGATCGGTAGGGTGTAGGCAATGACGAAAAGACCATAGATGTTTGGGAAAGCATCATCATCGCAAGCCACCTATCTGTTGACTGCCAGAGTGTTTTCCATCCAAGTTCATTTCCAAGGGATTTGGGAAATGGAATGTCTTTCTCACAGAACAGCATGCCTTCTACTTCGTCGTCCAGCTGCAGTGCCTGATATACTATAATCGATTGCAGTAGACCAAGCAAATTGCGGGCGTGGAGATCTTCGTCAAAAATCGATCTTGCATTTGGATGATTAAGGAGTCAAGAAGAGGAACAGCTACAGTCTTCTTGGACTGCAACCCATATTATAACTCATACTATTATTTTTGGTATTAAAAAGGGATAGACATGGGTAGCCAGAAAAGTTTGAAAACTTCCCAAAGGAGGGGTTGCAAGGCCCCTCAACCCTTCCCCTGGATCCGCCACTGTTGAACCTTGGCGTTATCGAAATGGTGATCCTCGTGTTGTACACAAATGAGGTAATTCAAAGTTGCGTTCTCCTCACGTCAAACAAAATTGCTGTTTCTTAGCACTTAGCTTGGGCGATGTCTAGTTTAAAGAATCTAAGATTAGAAGGAAAAAGACCTATTAAGACAAAATACGCATACAGCAGGCGTTGCCCGAAAAAGGAATGCTTGTAATTTGTGTTTGCTTTTGGCTCGATGACGTCATTTTCCTGCTACTACTACTACTACTACCAGAACCCGTCAAGAGTTTGTTTTCTTTTACAAATTAGAGCTTTAGTTATTTAATTATCTAGCTTGGATTACCATATTTAAATGTGAAAGGAATAAACAAAGCGGATTTTGACACATGTTCTTAGAAACGATGCAGTAATGAGTCATTCCAACCTTTAAAGTCTCTCAGATTATTCAGTATTACCTCCTTACTTGTAGTGTTGTACTTTTGAGAGATCTCAGTCGAAATGTTAAAGACAGTTGGCGTCGGATTTAAAGGCCTTTCAGACGGACCTTTAACAGCCTCATGTGTAATCAATGGCGCACTATTTAACTGCACAATGAGCTCTGTTCTTTTAATGAATACTTTGGGGGGGACGTATTTCACTCCAAAATTTGCCATTTGCCCATCCACCCTGTATTTGAAAATTAATAACAAAAAACGTACGATTAATACAAAAAGAATATCGTTAGCTACAATTTTAGTGGCTAAATAAATAAGATTACCGCATCACAAAGACTTTTGAATCAAACCAATGTACATGCTAAATAATTCATGAGTGTAAGATTCTCTGTGTATTATTAATAAGTTTTCGCCCCATGCCTATTCTTGCAGGAAAATCGACGTTAGATGAAAAATTCCAAAGTCTATGAGTGAGGAGTGATTAATTTTCAATTCGATTACACACAGCAGGGGGACTACCATTAAAAATGACAGGGGTCTTTTGCTTCATGTCTTTTTTTTATTGTTTGTTTGTTTGTTTGTTTATATTTTTGTGTATACTTAGTTTTCTCTCTACTCACCCAGACGATTTTATAGAATAATAGAGTATTCATTTGACCAATTTATAACTGTCATGGCTATTGTTTGCTTTAGGCCACGTCCACACGAATCCGGATATTTTTGAAACCACATATTTTTTTTAACATGATTCGACCTTCCTTCCACACGAAACTGAGTGAATTCGCTCACCGAAACCGCTCTCCAGGGTGATTTAGGGCCTCGTCCACATGAATCCGCGTAGATTAAAAATATGCGGTGTCAAAAAATGCCAGGATTCGTGTGGATGAGACCTTCATGTTTATGTTATTATGTTAAGGCCGTGTCCACACGAATCCCGACATGTTTGAAATCGCATATTTTTTATCCGGATTCGTGTGGACGGGTGCCTTAAACCGCTCTGGAGTGCATTTTCAAAACAATTCCGTTTCGGTGTCCAAATTCACTGGTTTCATGTGAACAGAAGGCTGATTCGTGTAAAAACGTCTGCGGTTCAAAAATATCCATTTTCGTGTGGACGTAGCCTAGGTTTTCATTCCTAATGTGATTTTTAGTTGCCTTTTTAACACCTAAATAATGAGCGCGAGTACTTTTTGTTAGTTAGTTGGTTTGTTTGTTGCACGATTCTTTTGGTGCTAAAATCCCACATCTTTAGACGCCAAAATAGACGCAAATTATTTGCAGACGACTGTACATAACGACTAAATTCTAAACCTATCATTTTTGTCACCTTGACGGTAGCCTGCAATGCCAAAACGTGGGTCTGTAATTTTCTATCGAACACAAGTATAGCGTATATCGTGACAATACTTTATTTTATAGATGAGTTATAGATGAATTCAAGATGACAATATTTAAGCCAGGCCCTTGTTCAAAAGATGGCTAACAATATCCAGTGGATAAATCTATATTTACTTGCCACGCAACTGGTTTCCCTTATACGTATTCGGTGGATAATACATATATTTATCCAATGTAATAGGCAAAGCTCCCCTTAATAGATTTAAGATTTACTTCAAACAATAAACCTGTAACCATTGTAAAGAAATCCACTTTGAGTTGAGCCTACGATCAGTTGAACACTACATGTAGCAACCTCGATGGGCCGACACCTGAGTCCGCGATACGGTCATGTGATATTGGTCAGTGAATAGCCTGTTTTGAAAGTGTGAGATTTTACATTAGTTACTCTGTGGTGCGGACGGTCCGTCGGACGGACGTACGGTCGGGTGACTACCAAAATTGCTCCGATCGATAGGTAAAAATAATTTCTTACCTATCGGCCTCCACTCGCGCGCGCGCGTGGAGCTCCACTATTATTCACCTATTTTCTTCACAAAATTGCACTATATCTCTCGTCAGCTTATTGCTTGTAAAACTTACCCAAGATTTTTTATCATGTTTCTTGGCACGTAAGTTAAACCCATGGTGTAAGCTTGAGTGTTGGTTGGAGCTGTGCGGAGAAATTCCAAAACTCTGCTAATAAGGTTATACCTTGCTTGAGCCTGTAATTGGTTGAATTCAGAAGTTATTTCATAAGTAGGGAAAATGAAGGAGTGAATGTAGTTCCTTGTGAAGTACTTTAAATATTTTCAGGCCCTGAATGTACCTCACAGTGACTAATGTTTCGACAACTTTAATTTTTGGCGGGAAAACAAGAGACAGTCTTTTGATTAAGACATCGCTGAAGAGCTTCAATCTTTTATTAAGATTACACATAAAGGTAAAAAACATGTTGAAAACAAGGATCGCTTACCAAATCAGGCTGCTGACAAAACGCGGTCCAGTCATACTGACTTGCATAAAAGGCACCATCGTCAAGTAACAGTTTTATGATTTGCTGCAGAGTAAATAGGAGCAACGAAGAATTCAGACTGCATTGAAAAAGTGAAAGAATCTTTGTGGTTGTATTAGGCCATAAATAAAAGTTGAGTAAGAGGCATAAATATTTTCAAGTGCACCATTTTGATTGAGAAAAAGTTGCACCTCAAATCCTAAAAGTCATGTCGCCTTTCGTCTACGATTTGCCTTGAAATTTAGGTCTTCATGTCGTGGGAAACTTTTATGTAAAAGAAAAGGGTAGTTGCTCATAATTTGAACATACCTTGACTAGAATCCCCGTGAAAAGAAAAAAATCAAAGAAATATTGTAGCAGGGAGATGGATGCCACCTGCATGTTCTCCTCTAATTTTGGTCCTTCTTATTTTGTAAGACATGTTTTTCAAAACCTAAGGGACGATTGGTTTATAGTAGTAAGGGATACGATAAGTGCCACGTAGGTGGTGTCCATCATATGGAATATTATTTTTAAATTATTACAGGATCATCAGGTTTTCCCTAGATTGATCTTATCTAGTAGGTTGATTTATCCTAGTATTTTTTAACGTTTTTTTTTTTTTTCCTAAAGAAAAGCTGTAGATTTGTGGACAAGGATAGCTTAATTTTGAATGAGACAAAAAAATGAATAATAAGGGATCGTAAAGCAAATGTTTCTACTTCAAAAAATTGAACAATATTGATTCGCTTTAATTATGTATAAATTGCTTGTGAATGAGAAAAAAAAAAAAATTAAATTTAGTCAAGATACAACAGCTTCACCACAATGGCGTTTGTTGTAAGTTAAAGTCTTTTTGTGTTGTTGTTGTCCGCTGTTTTTGGCTGATTTCTCCGACTAATTTTTCCCCTATTTTCGTTGCTGTCTTCTTTGTCTCTGATTCTATAAATGCGATCAAAGTTTCGCAAACTATACTAATTGAAGCAGATAATTAAAGATAATTACCTTATCTGCTCCAGCTCCTTAAAGTTTTCTCTTATCTCTTACCTCGCAAAGTTGTACGGCCTTATCCGAATTGCGTCGTGTAATTGGAGAAATAACTCTTCTTACAGAAGCAAACATATCATTTATCATCTCAAGTAAAACGTCTTTGTTCTTGAATCTACCATATGAATTCACAAATTCCGTGGATATATTCAGTATATTTGTGGTATTAGTTCTCTGAATCTGAAACAAAAAAAAGATTGCACCAAAAGAATATTATTCTTGGCTTTTGTAAAAAGCAGGGCTTGTTTGTTTAACAGTATTCAGCAAGAAACACAAATGGAATAAATCGTAGAAGCATTCATTGTATCGGTACATCTCCAAATTGGTGGAATAACAGTATTAAGGTGTATGTAACATCCCACTCTTTTTAAATTATGTCATTTTGAACGAGATTTGTAACGAAATGATATTCTTGAACGTTAAATTCAGTCTTATTCCGGCTCACGGTCAATTAAACGCGCTCAGAGTAAATTTCCCCATTCTCTAAAATCACTCAGCCAATATATAAATCATCTAGGAACGCTGAAATAAACGGCTGCTAAGTAAAAAGGTAGAATCTTAAAGCGCAAGAAATAATTATGAGAGGTTGATTAGAGTTCACCCGGTACTGGTTGCTCAGTATTCCTTTCACGATTAGCCATAACGCTGTCTCTTGAACTTACGCAGTCGAATAATTAAGAGAAAGATTGTTTCTTGTTTCTATGTAATAATTGGAAGACTTATTGAATTCCACCACTATTGTTTCAATTACAATAAGCGAATACAATTAGTAGGTGATTGCCCGAGGAGATGCCAGTCATCAGGTACGTCGAAATTACAACTGAACTCGCCTAGTTTTATAACACGAGAAATTAATTGTTCTTTACTAACAACTTTTCCAAAAAAGTCCCTTACGACTGGTGGAGAACTCGGTCATCAAGTACACCAGAAATCACAAACCAATTAATTATCCTTTAGTTACAACTTCTCCGAAAAAAGCCCTTACAATTGGTGGAGAACCCGGTAATGAAGTACACCAAAATCAAAAACCAAACCTTTAATGCTCTTTGCTGCAAATTCGAGAAGGGACGGAACCAGACGTCCCCTTTGAAGAGTCATACTAGCAGGATGGTAAGAACTAAAGACAAGCGTTTTTGATTTGTGAGGAACTGATATTTGTCATTTTTTATAAATATATTAATTAAACATACTATTTTCCTATCAAAAACAACTGTAGTAACGTCCTACCTTTTCTCTGAAATAATCCACCAAGGCTTTTAGTTCACAACCGCACGTGATCTTGTGAAACCAAGTTGTTCCAAGTCTCCCATTAGTTCTGCACTTACTGCTAAATGAGCCTACATTTGTATAAATTAAGGATGTTTGAGACTAGTGATTGGAGACTGCACCGTTACGGTCACCAAATTGCAATAACACGTCTGTCCTATGCGTGTTTATGTTATTAGTGCAAGCATGTAATAAATATATCCTATTTTATGTCATTTTTGTTTTCTGTTCAATTACGGATCATTGAAGAGAACCACCTCGCTCGCTCGTTGGCCACATATTTATTCTTACTGCATTTTTAGGTTTTCTCTAATCTATAATTAAAGAACCACACGGCAAGATGTGATTTCTTTCCTCTATGATAACCGAAAAAATAATAGAAATTAAGTTGACTGTCAGCCATGTTGGACAAAACAAAGATTAGACAATGATTATATGAATAATTACATTACAATTTATGGAATGGTACTGTGTAAAGAAGTAATATAGCTTTGAATAGATCCTTAAAAAAATGTAGGGTGCGTGGTGACAATGCAAAAGAGAAGGAAAAACCACACGGAAAAATTTGATCTCTTTGCTTAATAACGGAAAAAAACAATAGAAATTAAGCTTGACTGTCGGCGGCGTTGGACAAAACAAAGATCAGACAATGTTTATATGAACAACTACATTAAAATTTATAGAATGGTACAGTGTAAAGAAGTAATATAGCTTTGAATACATCCTACAAAATGGGCGGTGACAATGCAAGAGAAAAGTAAAAACCAACAAGTATAGCGCCAGCGGTGGAATGACAAAGGTCTATTAATACATGTAGCTATTGTACCTGTCAAAATTGAATCAGCTAATGAGCATTCTACTGCTACTTCCTCGCCTGTCTTTGTTCGAGGCCACTGCACGCCAAACTTTATCTCGGACTGACAGAAATCTGAAACGGGTAAAACATACACATGTGTAGAAGAGCGATTTTTGGCCGGAAGATTTTCCCCATAGCAAGTCTCACCGGACCCTTTAACTAAAATAATAAGGCCGAATCTGATGGAATAATAGCATTCTAAAAGGGGGTATGACGCCTTAGCTGGGTTGACCCTTGAAACCCTTTGATGTTACCAAGGAGAGTGAATATAAAAAATTATGAAATTTCACATGTTTAAACTGTGGGAAAAAGACTTAGCAATTACAACATGAAGCAAGTTTCCGAAGAGCAGCGAAACCTGCTACCATACATTTATAGTGTATGATATTTTTCACCAAAATCCAAGATGACCGTCTTTCGGGACAATGACGTCTGACCCTATGGTGGAACAATTTTTTCGGTATGTATAACCATAAATTGTTATTTTCAAGTTGTTGAAGAGGGCAGATACGGCCCAAGGATTAAAAATAATGGATTAAAATTAGCCAGTCGTAATCGCCTTAGATCCAGAAGCATAATTTTTAGAGGGAGATTTTTCGAACATTTATAGACGTTTGGTAGTTCAACTTGTTGTAACAGATTTTTTTGTTTTAAGGGAACCCCTTTTACTGACAGCGCAGTGTTATTAAGTTGTTGCTTCAATGAGTTTTAATTTTACAGTCGTAACTTACGGTTAGAACAGTTCTTCTCATCAGATAAATCATAGCAGTCGTTCCTTAGATCACATCGTTCCTCGCCCCATACTATCTCGTCACCGCTATCACACAAGAATAACTCGCCTTTGGTTATTAAATGGAGTTTATTCAAACCTGAAAAATCAGCGATATGAAACATTTCAAAACGGACTTAAAATATTTAACGTCACTGAAGTTTATATCAGCTGTCTCGCCTTTGTCGCTTCATGTAATTTTGTTAACATAAGTAAGTCAGTTGCTGTGTAATAAGCCTCGTGGCTTCCTTGAACATCGATGACTTGCCCTTTTTTCTTAGTCAGCTTCAGACAGCACAGCGTAAATGTGACGTCACACACTGGTAAATACCTGAAATACTTTCCGCAGGGGATTTTTCCTAACCTCTTATAGCTCCTGTGCAAACCGTAGCTCTTCTCTTCCCTAAATAGCAACCAGGCCTAGTCATCTCATGCCTGGGGTCTTGAAGACAATAAAAGTCTACACCGTCATCTTCCCAATGATCGTCACCATAAAAGACTTTACCATTCCATCTACAAGCTATAAAAAGATGTGTTTGTTTACAAACAATTATTGCAGCGGCCGCTATTAATCGTTCATTGCTTAACTAACTCCGGCGTGCAAAACTGAAAATGGCCCGTGATCTTGTGGCAAGACAAGTTCAATTATCACTCGGCTTTCTCCCATCAACCTTCACTTTTACTGCGAATAGAAAATGAAAGATGAAGTTAAACAACAAATTTAGCTGTGAGTACCCAGAAAACGGGGCAACTCATTTCAGTACTCTCTCGGGGGTGGGAGGCGGGGGGGGGGCTGAATTTTCATGAATTCGACAGTCTGTCATGATAGGGTATGAGACTCAGTAGACCTAGAAAAGAGCATCCTTTGTAACATTTGATTAGTGCAGTCGTCGTTTGTGTTACGAATTTACGTTTCTGGTTGATGGTTAGTCTGGTAGGGATTTTTGGTTCCTACTCTTGAAAAAATGTAAAATGCAGCTTACATGGTCTTGTATTGCCTAGGAGCGGACCATTTTAGAGTCCCGCTTTATTTATTTATTTATTTATTTATTTGTTTATTTATTTATTATTATTATCATCATGGTCATCGTCATCATAATCATCATCATCATCATCATCATCATCATCATCATCATCATCATTATTATTATTGTCATAATCATCATCACTATCACTATAATTTGTATTTTTATTGCTATCATCATCATCATCAACAACAACAACAACGACATCAACATCCCCCTCAATAGTATCCCAAATTTTCATTATTATTATAACATTCTTAGAGGGTAGCCATACCTCTGCATTTGGCTTTGTTTTCTTGCACATAACGCACCACATTACACTCTGTCTGGTTACAGTGCTCGGTTATCCTTCCTTCAAAATTCTTTGACGATAATACTGATATTGTTCTTGTGCATTTGATAACGCCATTTTGACAAGAACACTGAACACAGGTACCAACGGACCAAGTGGCTCCTTCAAAATACTTGTTTAGCTCTTCATCTTGACATGTTATGGCTTAAAGAGGACCCGTAAAATAAATAATTGAACAAACGCATTCTGAATTTATTTTACGCTTGCAAACTGAGAAAACTATGATCACATGAAATAATTAACGAATGTTTCTTGTCTTGTGATTAGTCACAAGACCAGGACATGCGAGTAGCAAGGCACAAAACCACAAACTAGTAAAAGATGTTGATAAGATTGTGTCAAAGATGGCATGTGCAAAATATAAAATTCTCAAATCTAATTGGCTGCCAGCTGTTCCTGTCAGCACTGATGGGACAGTTTAAGAAAAACAAGTTCGCGTCCTGCCTAAGTAATTGGACAGGGTGCGCTATCGCACGCGCACTTGAATGATTTTGTTTTTCACTGCTTGCAAAAAACCGCGAGTATTTTGTGTTTTAATTTTTAAAAGGCTTAAAATGTCACAAATTTTGTTATGGTTATGATTAATTGGTAACAGAACTTTCGGTCTGTAATTATACTCGTGATCAAACTTATTGGACGACCGCGTATTTTGTTAATACAGACCGAATTGTACTCCACCCAGTCCTATTTCCACTGTTTGCAACTAAGTGTTGCGGGCCGGCTTTTCGAGCCTGATTACAAGCATCGTTTTTGGTGCTGTTGCTATTACTGTATTTAGTCTTTATAAATTAAAGAGTGAAAGATTTTGAAACACGTGTCCATATACCGACTATGTGTTTCCTTGGATAAAAGAGGCTGTTATCTATTTTGTGTTTAGTGACTTAAGTTTCAAGCCAGCTCCGTGACAGCCTACACTCCTGATATTAAGGCGACGTTAGACTAGTTATTTATGTTTTACATACATTTCTTACCTGTTTTGCAGCTTATCATGGAATAATTACGAAAACAATAGGTGAGTTTACATTCATTGTCGATATCTGAGGATACCAGCTGATGGCTATTTGGGCAAAATGACAGATTTCCTCTCATTTGCTTTGAAACTTGCTCCAATACTAAACAAATAAAGACTAATCAGTACTTAAGTTGTTGGAGAACTAATGGGGACATGCGTGTTCCGAATCAAACTGACAAGATAAAACAGAACTCCCGTATATTTTTTAATCGATAAGCACTGGCGTCCAACATTGTAATTCGATTCTCTCTGCGTGTAGCTGAGTAATTTTGCTCATTATGCGTGACAAGGCCAACAAGAGTTTAGAACCAATCGCTCATGGGTTTCAAGTTATCGTAAAAAAAGAGACTGAAAATTATTGGGAGTCAACTTATAAACTGTGAAAGGTGTGAACCCAGGAGTCATTTCAAAATTAGGTTGAGTTTGATCATCCGGGAGAAGGTAGTCCTGAATAGGACGTTTGTTGTTGACAGTGACTGACGTTTCGACAACCTGTGCGGTAGTCATTTTCAGTGTCAAAATGAGTCGTATCACGTCAGTTGATGGTATTAAACTTAAAATTGAAGACAAGGCTGATCGGGCAGCTAAGGTTTACAAACTTATTTGCCCAATATTTCGACTAGACAAAACTAGTCTTCATCAGGGGCTGGAAAAGCTAAGTGATGGTATTAGAGAGCAAAATGCAAAAGCTTCATACCTAATTGAAAAAACTTTGTCTCTTCAAATGAACCGTGAGGCTTCAAGGATTTATGGGTATACGTTCGTTTGCAAAGCAAATTCAAAGTTCTTTCAGCAAAAGTTAACATTATCACGAGCTGTTCGTGCCGATGCAAATCCCTAGAGTACTTTATCATGCCGTTGTCTTTTATGCGTTCCAAGAATGCTCCTAGGTCATATCTTAAGATTTTCAAGTGTGCGTTACCAATATGGATAAGCTCTTTTACTGTAGCCAGGGATCCCAGATGTGCTCTGTTTAGGTGAAGTTGTAAGCTTACCGGCAATAAAAATGGAAACTTTTCAGATCTTTTTTTGAAATGCATCATCACCGAAAAGCTGTGATAGGTCGTGATAACATAAACTTTTCTGCAAAGAACTTTAAATTTTGCAATGCTAATGATAAAGTTAAATTCTACCCATAAATCCATTATGTCCCGTTGTTCATAATTTTATACTTTTTAAGCGACAAAGTTTTTTCAATCAGGTGAAAATATCTACCTGGACAATATGACGCACAGCAAACTGCTCCATTGTATACATAACATACTGGTCTGACCATTGGCGGGCAAATTCTTCCTACTTCATCGTTGGGTCCGGGAAAATAGAAGGTGCAGCCGCTGAAGTTCCACGTTTGTCCCGCAAATAGTAGTCCGTTGTTTTGTAAAATTTCCATAGCTAAAAACCAGAAGTCATCAATATTGTTTAGTCTTGTTTCAACATGGAATTTGTTAGGAATATTCTAACCAAACTGAGTTCGTTCGAATACTAGCTATAAGCATGCAAAAGAATGGCCGACGCTAGTAAAAGGGGTACGTACATAATTGTAGCGCTATTTGCCGTAGTTTTAAGAAAAGATAGAGAAACAGTTATTTAATTGCATAAACATTTAGACAAACCGTAAAATAAACATCGACTACCCAGTCACAATCTAAGTGGATAAGCATAAAATTCCTATTAGTTACTCTGGTATGTGCTTAAATGTTATAAACTGAAGAACAAAGAAAATAAATAAAATATGGATTTCTTTGAATGCTTTAGATTAAATTAAAAATACCTTTACACGCGTCCTTTTTGTTCCGAAGAAACTGTGAAACTTTGCAAGAAGGTTGCGTGCAGTTTTCCTGGATCACATAAATATCGGTGTAGTATCCTGGAAAGTTCACTTCCAAAGTTTTCTTGCAGTTCAGTAAGCCTCTTGAACAGTGACAACTTAAACAGGGAGAGACCCGCCAGCCAAATTTGCTGTTTTTGATAAGATACGTTCTGCCTTCTTCATCTTTACACACTTCTAAGACAAAGGATGGTAAAAGAACACTACTTATAAAAAAGGAATTCGGGCCAACAAGTATTATTATTTATAGATGGCTCCGCTTATTTGTTAAAAACGAAGAACCGGGAAGAAAACGCCATCTTAAGGTGGCTTGCCCAAGTATTTTTGTAGGTACACCACATGTTACCACGGTAAACTAAACCCACGTTGAATTTACTGCGGCATTTTTTACCTTGGGAGGTGTCTTTTACCGTGGTGTGTGTAACCGCACCTTATTCTCTTGTAATAAATGTGTTATAATTTTTTTACAATAAAGATCAATTTGTTTAAGTATATAAGACATTAAAAGGTGGAAGGTGTCCCTCCAAAATCCCGGGTCCAGCCATCTTAAGTGGATAATGTTCAACCGTTTTCCTAACCGAATTCACCTTTTCCTAGCCGCTCTAAAAGCATTGAATAGTCAATTAACAAATTCAAATGCGGCAATTAACTTTTGCTTTAGTTGATGACTTGCAAGACTAGCTCTGAGAGTGGTAAAGGTATGTCCAATAACAATATCTCTTTAAGGTCTCGGTAAATGAAAATTTTAGTACATAGCTCGATTTTGCTTTTTTTGGATTTTTGGCATGAGTGGGTCCTAAATTTTATTTTGGCAGAAAAAGAAAATCAGAAAGTGCTTTTTAACCCTTCTAAAATGAGCCTTTTCTCTTTCCCGCCAAGCGTTGCGCGCGAAAAGTGATTGACAGTCCCTGTCTATTGCGTGACACTCACTCTATTTTAGACGTAAAAATCAAAATTTCCTCACATACACCCTTTTTTAGGTCTGTTATCTGTCAATCAGATGCAATAAAAAGGAAGTGAATATTTAACAACGCGAAAGCAGTAAACTCGATACCTCTGAGTTCAAGAGCAAAAAACTTGAGCGCCTTTCGAAATTCGATGAATAAAACCTTTTATAAGGTAATTTAGTCTTTTAGCTTTAATTTGATATATAACTTGCCTTTGTAGCGAAAATACTCGCGCGACAAGAATTTTTTTCTGCATGTGGGCGCCTCGTCTTCCTTTACCAAGACCTTAAAAATATTTTTAGAATGTCTTACTATCTTCGCAGCCTGTTTCGTCAGATCCGTCCGGACATTCAAAGATTCCGTTGCACCTGTGACTGTCCCAGATAAAATGATCTCCGGTGAAGCATTTAAACATCGCTGGTCTTCGCATTTGTTGACTGGCAGTTCCCAAAAAAGCTTTAGGAAAAAATTGGAAATAAGGACTTGTTAAAGGAAGGGAGTTGTCAAAACATAAAGGACGGTATTAACGCTTTCTACGTAGTTCAAATTAGGGACCTTTCAGATAAATTAAAGGATCCCTCCTAGTTATATCATTTGAAATTTTACTTAAGCGCTGTAGGTATTCTGTTTAAAATATTTGCAAAATTACAACTTATTTTTAAAATTTCTTTGTTTCTAAGACGTCGAGAAGAGCTTCTACACGTTTTACGGCGAAACAGAGTTCGGCTTCATTTTTTTACATGTGCAGTCAAAAGACAGTAGCGTATTTTTAATGGCTACAGTAATACTGTACTCAGCATTCAGTTAATCATATGACATCCCTAATGGAATGAAAAATTTACAGGAAAAATAGCATATATGCTTTAATAGAAAATGTTTAGCCATTAATGATCGATACTTCTTCCATTAGTTTCTTTCTTCACCTTTACAATCTTCAGATGAATCATTTTCAAAGGTATGCCAACAGAGCTCGCATATTGGATAAGTCTTCACTTCAAACAAACCATAGGTGACATTGACCTCATATCTGGTGCAGTTAATACTGCCATTTATACATGCGCACTTAATGCAGTCGTTCTTGAGCCACGTCTCTTGGTATTTTTTAATTTTACCACTGCTGTCCATACAAACTGGCTCCTTTAGAATGGCACATAGGACGAATTTATCTCGAGAACAGGTACACTTTGTCGTTGGATCGTTTAACCATTCATCTCCAGGATTACGAATACGCTGCTCGTTGTCTCGACAGACTCTGAATACAGTGGTTGGTTTTAAAGGCTTCAATGTGAAGACAATACTCGAGGAACATTGGATTAGTAATTCTGCCGTGCACGAACACTGGCTGTTAGGTGTGAGTTTCCAAACATCGCCAACGTTGTAAGATTTACCATCAAATCCTAAGCAATGTCTGGACGATGTAACTGCATAGATAAATAATGCGTATTGATTGCACATTAAACAAAGGCAGAAGTAAAAATGATCAATCTCTGTCAAAAATAGTCCTATTCAGTACTACACTCACTGGACCATCATATTCCGCTGATTTACTTACGAAATGACTCGTTTATGGTAACATTACAAGTAACGTCAAGATCTGGTTAAGGGCGGCGCCGGCTTAAGCAACAACGACGACGACGGCTACGAAAACGTCACTTACAAAGTGAATTCGCGATGCTTTTAAACTATCGCGCTTTTCTCGTTCAATTCGTCGTTGCTGTGCAGTGAGGGCGCGAAATTTAAAAAAATGCGTGCTGCAAGTTAAAACATAAATCTACTGCTTTTTTGCCTTTCTCGTTGACGTCGCCGTCGCCGTACTCCTAGCTGTTGTTCCGCCCTGCTGTTCGACCCAGTTCTAACTATAAAATATTGCTATATAATAGAAATAGGAGATAAAATGCAATGTTAAATGGACACAAATATTTGGGAATAGTCCGTCAATAAGAAGCTTATTGAATAAACTCAGAAAAAAGATGTTTATTACCAGCTGATGGAGACGAAGAAGTGAAGTTCCCAGATAACCCTACAAAAGGGGAGAAGCAAAATACAAAACAAAAAGTGTTTCCAGTGTTATCAGTTGTAACATAC